CTTATACTAAATTTTTCAGAATCTTCTGTATCCTATTTTTACAACTGACCCAATATTACTATAACTGAGACAATACTGGTAGTTAGGACATACTATTAAACTGTTATGTTTTTGTAAAGTTTAACCCAACTCCAGTACTAACTTCACAACATATTCTTACTACTTTGGTATTCAATTTAAGTTCTACTAAGCTGTCATTTCAGATAGTCTAAAAAGATAGATCATAACTATACATCTTAGGTTTACATGTTTACTAATATATACTCTTTTCTTCTGAAATCTGAAAATTCTAGTGGCCTGGTTGGTTTTTCTAGCCTTACCTCAAAGACTGGCACATTAGTCCAGTTTTACAAGTTCTAAATCTTTTTCATAAGTCTAGTCTTTATAGTAGCACTGTCAAAAGTTTGAATTATTTCTCTACTTAGGTCTTCCAAGTAGGTTTCTATCTTTCTACCTAATTCCTGTAATTTACATGACCTAAGAATTTATTTTAGGTTTATACTGTCTGGTACTAGTTTGTGTTTCTTTATACAATATTGTATAAATGCCTAAATCTTCTAGCATGCTAATATGACATGAGTTACAAGTATTTTATCCCAACCAATTACAAAAAACAGTTAACTATAATACAAAAAGAATTGCAAATTTTTACCATTATTGTGATTTGAATTCTAGACCAGCATAGGAAATCTAATATTCTCATGTTTTCTTAAGAATATACTTTTGAATTTAAGAACATTTGTTACTTTGAACATGTTCTCTATAAAAAAATTTTTGAGAACTTATTGCTTAATAAATATGTATACTATATATTAAGTACAAATGAAGTTAACAATTAGAAAATAAGTAAATTTTGAAAAATTCTGAAAAAAAAATGAATAAACATAAAAGACAAGCAAGTTTGAGATAAAAATTTAAATAAATTATCAATATTATCTAAAAATTTTCAAAACATTGCAACAGAGATTTTTGCTATTGAGAATATAAAAATATTTTTGAGAACATTAAATTAAATAATTGTGTTCTCATAAGAACATAAATTTCAAAACAGATTTCTAACACTGCTCTAAACCTGCTACTTGAAGGTTGACAACCTATCTATTTTACTAGGTTACCACATCCTGTTTTATAACATATTATATATAAGTAAATACCTTAATGAATATTAATTTTAATTAATCTAAATATTTTGTTTATCAATACAATGAATAAGTTCTTTTTTTTTTTAAGTGACAATCTTGCCTGTCTGTCTTTATTGGGTAATATATTATTATTCAAGTATATACAAAGCCTATTAATGAAAGTAAAACTAGTCACATGTATAACTTTAGTTATTATCTAATTAAGAATTCTGCCCAAGAATCACCCACTAGCTGTCATATCTGAGATTTGTCTGCAAATCTCCTATTTAAACTTTCTGATTTTAATCCTATTACATATATGCAATGCTTCTATTACTATATAGACATACCAGGTTAGGACTATCTAATTACTATTTATATCAAGGTACCACCTCATTGGATGTTATCAGGTATTCATAGTTCCTTGAATTTACCCTCGATATAGACTTACTAAGTATGATACCAAGATTACTCCTTAGATTTATCCAATTTTAGTAGATCTCATATCTACTAGAACTGGTTTGGTGCCAGAAGTGTTCAAATTTCAGTAAATTCATTTCTTTTCCATAGTTTTCTTTTATGTTCACTGTATTACCCACTAGTGCACCTTCTTTTCATTTCTGATATGTTCACTACTTCTCTCGCATCGAGCACCAACTCTTCATATCAGGAATCTTTTTTTTGAAAACTTCCTTATATACTGATCTTCTAACATATGGACTTAGCCACAGGGCTTCATGTACATTTATATGCTTCTGTAGATTACAGAGTTGCCTTCAGATGGGATTGAACTGTCAACCTTGTCTGTGAAGGGAGAGGTGCCTAGACCACTAGGCTACAGGACCCCATCTCTTTCTTTTTTTTTATAATATATTATATAAAAGTAAATATTAGTAATATAAATTGATAAAAAAAATTATAGATTGTGTTTAAACCTAAAGAAGCTTAGTTTGGTCAATTAGACTGACCTTTTTGCTTAGTTAGCATATTTATATTAAATATGCAAAAGACTATTATATAGCTTATTTTTGAATTTGGTAATGTTAAATTATTTAATTTTTATTCAAGTTGTTCTTAAAAAAAATTTTAGCATGTTAGTATTTTATGTTGATTAATTGACTATATTATTATTTTCTAAAAAAAATAGTAATAAATAAATTTACATAACTATTATAACAAAAAATCTAAAACTATTTTATAATAATTTTTTACTTTATAAAGGTTTTGTAACTTATAATATCTTTAAAATAAGTAATAATCTTTAATAAAAATAATTTATAAATTAGAAGCCAACTATATACTTGATTTAGTAACTACAATATTCTAAACTAGTTTTATTACATTAAACCATTTTCAATATAAAAAAATGAACCTAAATTGATTCTTTAAGTAATCAAATTTTAACCAATAAATTATCTGTAATGTAATAGATAATTTTAAACTTCTTGACTAAAGTTATCTGAGTAAGAGATACAATCAAAAATTATAGTAAATCACAAATTACTAAAGTAAATATATATATTTTTAATTAATAAATTATAAATGTTTATATCAACTATGTCAAAACAATGTTAATTATATTTAATAATATTTTACTAATTTTATATATTATAGTTATAATGATAATAATCAATAGGCTTTAATTTAGTATTTAATTGTACTTTTTCAAGACCCATTAATATAAATAAATCTGATACTTAATGCACTAGTCAATCAATACACTGCAGTTATTTCTAACTCCCTTTAAGCAACTCAATCACCTAGTTTCTGATTAAATTTATTAGTTAAATTATATTTTCGTATAATAATGTAATTTTGAAATCATGTTTATTTGTATTTTAGTGTAACAAATACATGAAAATCATTCATTAGGTAACCGGATTGAAGGATTGCACCAAATCCTTCGAATAATCTCTATTCGCCATTACTTGTATAATTTGAACGAATGAATGATCATTCATCACTATTCTCATACTTTATGTATGAACCAAGAGAAACATTTGCTACCACAAGATTTCGTGGACCATGAGTGAAGATAGGTAATATTTCTGTTATAAAATCATTTTATTTAGACTGCTCAAAATAATTTAATTGATTTTTTAACGTACATTTAAAATGTTTAGGGGATCAATCGAAACTTTCATATATATTACTGTTGAATTACCCAAAGTCGGTATGAATTGTGGACAAGTATTGAAAGGGTGTTAAATTTGAAAATGCTATAAACTACTGCTAAACATCGCAAAAATCGAGGTGAGCAAAATTTATATCAGTATTGAGAGATTATCCGATTTGAGAACATTATAAATTATTAAATTCACATAGCAGAGACGTACTTGATAGGTTATGCTTGGTAGATTAATTTTTATCAAATTTAAAAGTTTATCAACAGTAGTATAATAGAATTTTACGACTTATTTTGGAAACTAATATGTATTTCCATATCCAATTTTGATATTGACGCACCCTAATAAAATTAACCATTCTAGCATTTAATGATTAACATTAACTTGAACTAAAAGTATTTAATACTTAATATTAGCACTTTAATAACAATCTTACGCAACCAAAATTAAGCTGCATTTTGTTATTATAAACTATAAAATGCACCAAGATTTTGTAATAATTGCAATAACGATATAATTAAATCCGAAAAATTTATATCTAATCCTGACATTATTTGGTTGTGCTAGGAAGATTCTATAAACTCGGCGGTTCAATTTTATGATACACTTATGTAAAATATTTAAACCAAAATGAGGTGTGAGAATATCGGTTTCCTTTATTTTTTATGAAAAAAATTAAATAATATCAAGATTACAAATTTATAAGATAAGTAAGTTTGTCACATTTCAGCAAATTTTTTAAAATAAATAAATGCCTTATATTCATCCAATTCCATTAAGATAAATAAATGGCTTATATTGATTTCTTTTAACATAGAATCCATTACTATAACAATATCCAACACCATATATTCCATTAACATAACTCATGTCAGCAGATTTTTGATAATGGATAAATGCTTTATATTTATCCATTTCAATTCCAACTCCATTATAATAACAATATCCAATATTGTATATTCCAAAAACATACCCCATGTTAGCAGATTTTTGATAATGGATAAATACCTTATATTTATCCATTTCAACTTCAACTCCATTATAATAACAATATCCAACATTATATATTCCTTCAATACATTCCATTTCAGCAGACTTTTGGTAATGAATAAATGCCTTATGCTCTTTCTTTTTCTTTGCCATTTTCCAAACCAAAAACACCAATTTGTGCCATATATAATTGGTTTGATTATTCAAGCATCGTATGATAATATTGTCAGGATTTTGTTTTCTATTTATTGGAATTTGATTACATGTGTCCATAATTAAATTCAAATATTCGCTTGTTATTGTAATTTTCATATAATTCATTACCGATTTCACTAAATGTATAATTATTTTTTAATTTATTATTGTTAATATTGTTAATGTAATGTTGTCAATCATTTGGGTAGTTTCATTTGATAAGCTACCAATTTTTTTCAAATGTTCTATAGTTTAACAAAATCTGTTACGAAAAGTATCTTTGTTCGAGAGTAACCGAAACATTTATTTAGTCAAATAATACAAAAGTTACGTTTTTATGCATCAATAGTTTTACGTTATTTTCCAAATTTGTTCAAAACATTCTATAGAGGCTTTTCTATATACAAGGATCATGAGTGCAACTTTTTATTGCAAGGGCAACATTAAGGTCTGATGTTTCATTCATGATAGAACAAAAACAATAAATGTGACGCTGATGCCGGAAATTTAAATATGGCTAAAATTATTATTTATTCTTACTTAATATTGCGTAATATTACTTACAAAATTACTTTGCCCATCCATATTTTAATACCGTACAACTTCTAATATAAGCAATCCTCAGGTTTGGAGCTGAATAATTAACAAAGATTACAATGTTTTATTGATAAAACTACACCTGAACATAAGCAATCACACACTTTGACTTTCTAAAATTTGTAAAATTTTGGTTGCTTATATTCGGAGAAATGCAGTATTAAAATTTCAAAATTTTAGGATTTATTTTTTTGATAGTTATGTAAGTATTTAGAAATAGTTTTGTTTTGGTAATTAAAGAGTATAGCTGAAGTTTGGTAACGTTTGTATCGAGATCCCTAACTTTCAGCTTTAGTCGTGAAATTTATTTGCTACTATTTTATTTTGTGAAACTCCTTTTTCATTTCATTAAAAAGGCAGTGTACCGAGATTAAAAAATATCATTCAAAAATTTGACACAGTCAAACATAGCTGTTATGGTTAAATTTTAACTTGTAAATAATTTCGTATTATTATATTTTTAATGAATGCTAAATGTATCAATTTTAATTATATCAATTATTATTTTTAAAAATAAAGTTAAAATTGCGTTAAATAACAATATTTATAATTTATTATTACTTGACTTTTTATTAAAAAATTTAAATAATATCATTTCAGACCTCTAAACCTCATGCTAATTAAAATTTGGATCTTTATATCTGACCTTATCTTAGTCTATAACTGCACCTAACTTGAAACTTGATAGTAAAAATAATATTAATATCCCCGGCATAAATATTAATTTTTTATATCAAAATTTACTATAATGACAGAATATAAATCTTATTTTTTTATATCAAAATTTCTATAATCACAAAAATATAAATAATTACAAAATATATATTAGCTATAATTACAAGTCAGTTTGTCACATTTCAGCCAATTTTTTATAATAAATAAAAGCCTTATATTCATCTTGTTTAACTCCAATTCCTTTAAGATAACAATGACCAACAGCTTTTATTGCGTAAGCATCATCCATATTAGCGCATTGTTGAAAACAAATAAACGCTTTATGTTTATCCATTTTAACACCAAATCCATCATAATAGCAATACCCAACAGCATATATTCCAAGAACAAAACCCATGTTAGCAGATTTTTGATAATGGATAAATGCCTTATTTCTATCCATTTCAACTCCAACTCCACTATCATAACAATATCCAACATTATATATTCCAATAATATGACCCATATCAGCGGCTTTTTGATAATGAATAAATTCCTTATTTGCATCCTTATTAACACCCATTCCTTCTCTATAACAGACGCCAACACCAAGTATTCCTTCAATACATCCCATATTAGCAGACTTCTGATAATGAATAAATGCATTATACTCATTTTTTTCTACCCATTTACCAAAACGATAACACCTTGCAAGAACAATGTTGGCCATAGGATTGTTTTGATTATTCAAGCACCACTTGATAATTTTGTCAGAATTTTGTTTTCTATTTCCTAGAATTTGATCCAGTGAATCCATGATTAAGTTCAAATTACTGCATGTTAAACTTTTTTCATTGTAGCTATCATATAATTCTTTAACAATTTCATTTAGAGATTCATTATCTTTTAGATTTAATTGGTTAATACCGGCAATCATTTGGTCAGTTTCATTTAATAAACTAACAATCTTCTCTGGATATTCTGCAGTTAGATAATTTGACATATTAAACCAAGAAATCTGATATGAAAAGCATTGTTGTCTGGATCGTAATGGAGACACATTTATTGCTTATCCAAGGTGATACGAAAGTTTCATCAATAGGCCATAAAAAATCGGCAGTCACATGATGATCGTCATACATAATCAAAATTGCATATCTGAAATCTGTGCCAGGTTACGCCGATGTTGTCAAATATCTGACTGACGGTGCCACCAAACGGCAAACAATAGATATTATGTTATTAATTAATATGATTAGTGATTGATATGTATTATTAATATACATAACGAAATAAATTTTTTCTTGTTGCCCACTTTCTCAAACCGGGGATTTTTTTTCTTTGAACAACAAAAAAAACATCAATATATCTGGTAAATTAAAGTTCTTAAAACAGTCACACGATATCAATATGGAAAGTAATGACACAATGGAAAATATTTCGCAGGTTAATACCTGTATTTGTTATATTGATTTTCCATAATTAGAAAATTCAGATTTGTATTAATGTTACAAAAACTTAATATTATTATTATAGGTCTTCACTTGGGAGTCTTTGCCTGAAGTTTTAAAGCCAATTCTTCCTCAGAGCTATACGTATTTGATTCAAAAATTTAATAATATGTCACCATTCCAAATGCAGGAGAATTTTGAGGTTTCACAATTTGAGTTGGATATGTTTGTGAATATTAACAGTAAGGATGAAGCATCCTGATGGGTTATAGAATTTCAATTTCATTATAAAATGACAATGGTATAGACTAAAGATTATGAAGTTAAAGGAAGTCAGGTTCTATTTCAGGAAAAGCAACATTGTATCCACAGTCATGAAGTTAAACAAAAGTAGAGAAATGTTGAAATAAAATGTCTACAATCATCATGAACACGTAATATTTACTGTATTGCAATTGTTAATCTATGATTAGAACATAGATAACTTTCACTAATTCATTCTTTTGAAATAAACTTAAAATTTATTCACAATCATGTTATTAATTCAGTAGAGTCTTTGAGTTTTTGATGTATTAAAGAAGAAGTTTCTAATGAATTGTTAGATCTTTTTAAAGATGAACATATGCTTGCTTCTGCATTATATGTTTATCAAGATAAATTTTATTTCAAAACAAAAGATGAAAGTAAATTAGTTGAGCTTTTTGCAGATCAGTTTATAAATCCAGATTATGATTATACTACTAAGCTTTTTTAAAATATAGAGAAGTTACTCTTGGTAATAAAAATGGTATATTGATATTTGAATAATTAACAGAACTTGTTAAAAATTATAATGACTCAGGTTAAGAAAAGACTATATTGCAAGAATTTAATACATGTACTAGAAAAGCATATATTCTTTGTATAGTAACTGGTCTTATGTTTTGAATACATTAAAAAGTTCCTCAAGCTAAGAACTTTGTTACATTGATGCTTTAGCTTTATTTGATCTATTAAATATTTCAATAACTTTTCTTTATACAAGTTACGTAGTTGGAGCTCTTTCACTTAGATTATTTATCAGTTTAGATGAGTTTGAAATTATTTTGAAAAAAGAAGTAACTAAATTTTTTTAAACTTATTTTAATTTATATTAATTTTATATATAATACACTAATTTATATAATTTAATTAACAGTTTAGTATGCTAAAAACAATACTTTCTTCTTATGCATTCTATGATCATGGACCACAAACAGAAGCAATACTTTTCTTTACTAATAATTCTAGCACTGAAAGGAATGCACTTGATATATGTTATTCAACTGGAATTCATTTTTTATATACATTTTACATATTACAAGCATTTTGAAGATGGCTCTATAATTCCAAGCATTATATTCACAAAGAGAATCATGTATCTATTATGACAAAAATGAGAAAAATTATTTATACTTTATCAAATTCAGAAATGGACTTATTTTATCATGAGTTTAAATAAAAATTTTATCCTACTTATTCTTAATTACAAAGACATTTTGAGCTTTTATGGGAATGCTGATTTTTCTGAACACATTCTTATCATTTAGGATTGTTTATATGCAGAAATAATACAAATAATTATGTAGAAAGAAGTTTCAGAATCTCAAAAAATATAGTTTTTACAAAAATTCAGGCATTTAATTCTGTACAAATATTTTAGTTTTTATTATAAATATAAAAATATTTTATAAATAATGTTTACTTAATTTTAAAAATAAACATCCTAAACATCTATGAATTTCAAAAGGATTTTTTTGTTCAAGTTGAAAGAAAGTTAATAAAAATGAAATACAAAGAACAAATATTGATAATGAATTTCTTGTACTAAGTATAAAAAATCCTAATTTTTTTTACATTATAAATAATGAACTTAGCATATATACTTGTTTTATTGGAATTTGCAAGTTCCTATATAAGCACCAAGGTACTGTGTCAGTAAAATTCCAAATTTCTCTACTTAATTTTATTTTATTACTAACATCTGATGATCATAAAACTTATATTGCTTTCAGTAAAGTAATATATAATTTAATTTTAAATATATTTGAGATTTAATTTAATTGATTTTTTAAGATGGACTACCAAAGATCATTTTTTTCTATGTATCATTATATTTACAGCCTACTTTATAACCTTTACAACCTTTACAATTACAAGAAAATTTACAAGTTGGAATAGGTTTATCAAATAATATTTTAAATATAACATACAGATGCATTTTCTATTTTATTAAGCTAATTTTTTAATATTAAAAATCTATAACAATTATTTATTTATTTTGTAAAAAATTAAATAAACTTAATAAAGAAAATGAAGATAATAATACTTTTTTATTTATTATATTTTTAGAAAAAGTCAAAAAAGATTATCTAAATAGTAATTCTCAACTGTGTGCTGCTCTTAACAAGTTTTCAATATGCTATAACATGGCAAAGTTGAAGTCTATATCCTAATTATTCATATTTTTTTATGATATTGATTGTAATCTGAACCCAATGAATTATATTAAAGGTTGTATACTTATAAGAGTTCAAATAGAATCTATTAAAAGACACAAAGTGAATAGACATGATACCAAATAAAAATCATACTGTTCTATAAATAATAAAAAGAAAATATAGATTTTCATGTTATTTTGGTTTAAAAAAAGAAGAAAGCAATAAAAAAACTATAAATTAAGTAAAAATGTCTTGAATAACCATCTGAATTGAGAGATATAAAATTTTAGTTTATAAATTTCTCTTATATTAATCTATATACAGTATTTAGTTTGTGTTCATTAATAAAAATTACAATGAAAATTTGATTTGCATTTAAGTTTATGAGTCAAACTGACTGATGATCATATAGTAATTAACCATTAGCATAACCTGATACAGATTTCAGATATGCATCAAAATTTTATTGGTCAAAGTTATCATTATACAGATCACATATTAAATAGCCAATAAATATGAATAAAAAATCATGTTTATACAACTTCTATAATGTCAGAGATAAAATAATACTCTATAAAATCTGTAAAATAAGCATCATTATAACATACTTACTTAATTGATGCTGTCATGATGATCTATTTGAAATATATATATCTGGTCTCATGAAAGCCATATGACAGTATACAAGCCTATATGTAGAACTTAGGTAGCAATTTTATTAACAAGATGATGTTAAAAAATTGTAAAATTATTTGATATAGTTTGAAGAGTAATAGTTTATGTTCCTCAAAAAGGTTAAATTAAATAGTATTTTGAGAAGATAAATCATTTTTTATAAAATCACTCACTATATGTTCAGCTTGCATATCTGTAAAGAATACTATAGTCTGTTCTATACATTAAGTCTGGTTATCATTAACCTGATCTTTTATATTATAGCAAGATTTCTTTAAGAGTTTTATATAAAAAATAATGTATAAATATATAAAAAAAATTTTTTTCAATATTAATAGTAAGGTCATGTCTTTATTTTTATTAAATATTTATTTAAAATTTTTATATAAAGCATAAATATACTTTTAAAAATATTATAAAAAGAGTAGAAGCAAGGAATGGGGTTCTGTAGCCTAGTAGTTTAGACACTTTTTTCTCTACAGACAAGGTCAATGATTCAATTCTAACTAAGGAAGCATATTAATGTACCTGAAGCCCTGTAGTTAAGTCTATATAAATAGAATATTAGTATATAAAAAGTTCCTGAAAAAAAGTTTCCTGATATAAAGAGTTAGTACTTAATATAAAAGATGCAATGAACATACCAAAAATGAAGAAAAGGCACACTAGTATATGATATGGTAAAAATAAAAGAAGCTATAAAAAAGAAATAAATTTACTAAAATTTAAATACTTTTGTCATTAAAACCAGTTTAGTAAATATAAGATATACTAAATTGAATCTAAGTAGTAATCTTGATATTAGTTTAGTAAGCTTGTATTGAGAATAAATACAAAGAAATATGGATACTTAGTAACATCCAATAAGGTAGTACTTTGATATAAATAGTAACTAAGATAGCTCTAACTTGAGATGGCACAACAATAATAATAATGTAGACTTTGCATATATATGCAATATGTATTGAAAATTGGAAAGTTTAAATAAGGAACTTACAAATAGGTCTTAGATATATTATCTAGTAGATAATTTATAGATGGAATTCTTAATTAAATGGGATCTTTGCTAGAAAAATCACCTTTCGAGCTATTGTTATATGAGAATTTAATTAGGAAATTATAATAAATCTATTTTTAGAAAAAAAATTTTCTAGTAAAGATTCCAAATAATAACTAAAGTTATATATGTAACTAGATATACTTTCATTAATAGACTATTGTATATAAATATATAATTATATGTTACTTAATAAAAACATACAAACAAAATTGCCACTTCAAATAAAAAAAAAAAAGAATAGAAGCTTAAACTAGTTTATCTGTGACCTAAACCAACAGGAATGATCAAGACTTATCTAGATTTGGAAATTTTAATTATATATAAAAGGTTAGTTTGGTATTTGATCTATTGTATATACTTGAAGTTAATTTTAAAGTAAATTAAATTAGAAAAAAAAGATTAAGATGAATGTGAAATAAGATTAGAGAGTAGGAACTCTCTTCTGTAGATTACAAAATACTAAGTAAACAAATAATTAGCAAAACAGATATATAGAA